TACCTGCACTGCAACCTGAACTTAACAGAGTTTGACACCTTTTTATGAACCCTCCCACCCAAAAACTAGGTTTTTGTCTTTCAAAAGAGCCTAACCTACCCTTGCTTCAGTTTTTCTTTCTTTGTTTGTTTATGGGTTGTTGTTTTTTTTAGTTTTTTAGAACTAGTGACTTCCTATACTGAAACGTGACTATGTTTAATAAACTGTACTTGAGATGGACTAGCAAGACTTTTCTAAGATTTAAGGGTCTTTATTAAACTTCTGAGTAGATTCTATTGGAACAAGCCTGATTTCCTTTATGGAAATGCAGGATCTCACTCCTGAAAACTGAAAAACTACCGGACAACCTAAAGGGAAATATGTCTAAAAGTGCCTGTCTTCACTGAAGCTCAAAGCACCACACGCTACTTTTAAAAAAGTTAATCTAGCTATTATACCCCTGTTTTGAAGACATACAAAACCTTGCCTCTTTTAATATCCTCCTAGCACTAGCCTAGTTAGGGAGGAACTAAAGCCCTAAAAGTTAAACAGTTCCTAAAACAGACCCTAAGTATTGTACTCAATAGCCCTTAAAACCAGAAGCACACTCTTGGAACACAGAACAGTGAACCTCAACACCTCCCTCCCCCCAAAAACCAACTGTCTAGAAATTAAAGGGAAGAAATGGGGGGGAGGGAAACTACTGAGGGAAAGTGACTTAAGATAGAAGAGAAAGCAAAAAGAACCTAAACCAAAAGCCCCTCCACACACACACACACACACACACACACACACACACACCAGACCAAAAAAAGAAAAGGGGGGGGGAAGCAGAGGAAACAAGCAGCAAAGCCTGACCCCCCAACTCCCCCCCAAAAAAAGAAAAGAAGAAAAAACCAGCAAAGGATGATGGGGGGGGGGGGAGAGAGAGAGAGAGAGAGAGAGAGAGAGAGAGAGAGAGAGAGAGAGAGAGAGAGAATTCAAGCAAAATAATAGATTCTTTAAAGTTATTATCTGTTGTACACTTTCAATATAATTACTTTGCAATTGATAGTGACTTCCCCAGTTTGTGTTTACTGATTCTGATATACTGGGAGGTCTTTGTGGTGGTGGTTGATTGTTCTTTATGACTAAACAGACTTCATTCATTGTTCCATTACATCTGTGTAAAAAAATGGCCATTTGGTTTAAGGGAGGCGTATTCTTTTCCTGCACCACATTAACAAGTTTTGAGCATGTCCATAAATAGCTTGTAAGAGGCCAAGATGTACTTTTGCTTTTCTGTGTGAAAAAATGACCTTGGACTCCAGTGGGATTAATCCGGAGAACCTGATTTGATCATTGAGTGTGCCTTTGTTTTGTCTTTGCTCAGTGCCGCTATGGACAAGCATGGCCTAGGTCTCTTCTTCTGTCCCTCGCACGCACACAAATAAGATGGTAAAACTGCTATTGGACTGCACCTCTTCAGGCTGTTAGTGGGGGGGTCACATGTTTTCCTCATATCTAGTTTTTCTATATGTAGGACATTTTTTTATCATGATGACCCATTCAGTCATGCAGTTTCCACACACCTGCAGTCTGAACACAGACAATCCAGAAACAGTTTTACAGCTGCTTGTGTGAATTAGGCTTAAATATGTTCCCAGTAATAGAGGTGCAAGTTCTGAGAAGACTTGCGCACAGACATTGCTCTCCCTTGAGTATGGGACTCTCTTTCAGCCACATTTCCTCAGGATATCTGGCAAGATTGATCCGGCCCCATCATCGTAGGGCTTTCATGCTAGCTCGGTTCGACGTCCTTCCCTCAGCTGTTTTATCGGGAAGGTTCAAGAAAATTCCCTATAAAGATAGATTGTGCCCATGTGGGATGTGCTTCTGTACTGTATTGGACATGTGCTTCTGTACTATAAATTCCACTATGACATCCGTGTTGCTTATATTGAACCTGTGTTGGACCCCCTTTTGGGCCAATCTGATGAGTATAAAACTATTTCTTGAACCTGTAGCAAATTTCTTTTATGAGGTATCTAGGAGGAGAGGCTCGTATTAAGGCAATTCGGAATGTGATCCCCCCTGGACCCCCCCCCCCCCCCGGCCTATCTTGAGGCTCTATGCTGCACGTTGTATTTGGTATTTTATGCCAATAAAGGTATTGTATTTGCTTGTTGTTCCCGGTAGGGTTGCCCACCTCCAGGTGTGGGCTGGAGATCTCCCAGAATTGCAAAGCCTACAGAGATCTCTTCCCCTGGACAAAATGGCTGCTTTGGATGGCGGACTCTGTGGCATTACACCCTGCCTTCCCCAGGCTCCACCTCCAAACCTTCAGGAGTTTCCCCACTCAGGGTTGGCACCGCTAGTCCCCAAGGAAGAGATGTCATCACTTTGTATGCAAATGTTTCAATTTGGAGACAGCCTGAAATCCCATATCTTCTCATCTGTTCCTTATTTTGAAAGCAGCTCTCTATTGAATTTCTGGGGGGATAATTTTGGGAGGAAAATAAAGATCTAACAAGTGCCAACATTCTTCTTAAGGATACTTAAAAGAGTTCATTTTGATGGTATTTCTCTAGTAACCTGGCGAAGATATGTATTGATCTTGCTGGCAGTCAACAAGAGCGCCACCTTTAATAGACGGAGGGGGGGGGGGGGGGGACCGGTTTGCAGACTGAGTTGACATATTACATGGGAGTTTTTAAAAAAATCACAAAGACAAATTTGTTGATGAGTAACTTTCAAGACAATACACAACCTATACACCAGTGGTTCTCAAACTGCAGTTTGGGACCTAAAAGAAGATTACAACTCTTGGGGGGAGGGGGGCGGGGACAGGTGGGTGAAAGCAGAGCAGGTGAGCTGGGGGTGGGGGTGGGCTTTGACGGGATTAATAGCAAATTTGGGTTTGCCTCTGCAAAATATGCATGGTGGCCATGAAATATTGCCTTTTGCTCAGGAATGCTGTATGTTTATAGACAGTAAACCTGAAAAATAGAATAGAAATTTGTTTAGTGTTAACTGATAAGACTTCTGCATTTTGTGCTGGGGACAGACAAAGTAGGGTAGAATTACTTTGCAAGCAGATCCTGAAAATTAGAATAAGTATAGCTGCAGGTCCCACTTTAAAAGACTAACCGCTAATGTACACTATATTTTCTTTTGTATTTTTAACATGGTTTAATGTGAAGTATTTGAAAAGTTTCTCTTTTGTTCTAAAAGAAGTGATCTGTCCTTGCTTCAGTCACTTTTTACAAAAGCCAGATCACTTTCTTCAACTTCTGGAACTTTTGTTCAAAGAGGTTGTAACACGATTCTCTGACCATTAGGAATTGTCAGCAACTACGAATACACTTGGCTCTTTAACAGAGATGCTTGTAAAAGCCGTCACTTCTTTTGCCGACATAGTTATGACCATGTTAGGTGAGGTGCAAATGGTATTAGAGACATAGAGGTATTCATAATTTTTTTCCAAAGGAAATAGCCACTTGCATACATTACCCTGACTCTGCAGAGGTTTCGTGCATCTTGAATCCTTACTATTTGTAATCTAATTAAGTGTCTCCATTAAGGAACATTCTGCTTCTTTGTTCTGAAAGACTGCAGACGCAGCTGGATCAATACTGTAGCTATGTGTTGTCCCAGACACACTGGATGTGAAATATATCCAAGACAGAGGAGTGTTGGGAATAAAAGAGAAGGCATAATGGCTAGATGGTAATTACCACTTCGCAAGTTAAATAGCATTTCAAGCACGTATAACCTGAAGGGCTAGGAATGTCATGGAGACTCTGAATTTTCTTTCATATATCATGTCTTTTAATGTAAATATTTTGGAAATGTATATCTACAAGGAGGGTGCTTGTTTCCTACCTTGGAAACCAGCTGAAAGATTTAACTTGTTCTGATGCCGGGCCGGGGGGGGGGGCAGGGAGATAGCTGCTGCCGGATCACACTTGTTTGTATCCGAATCTTTTTTTCCCTCCCCCCCCCCCC